AAACGCCCTGTTCAGGTACGCACTGCCGAAAAGCGCCCCGGAGTGCAGCAACAGCCGAGGCTGCTAGCTCCGTCGTCGTCGTGTTCTGAGCTGCGACGACCGCCAGGCAGCAAGCACAGCCAGCAATCATCAGCTGACGAGCCATTTGTGCAAGATGAGATTGGATCAGGGAAGTCAAGGGAAGCACGGGCAGGAGGCTATTTCGCTTGTACCTGTGAGCCCGAGCCGCAGGAGGAGGTCACAGTCCCTTCTCTAGTGTTTGGAACGCATCCCAGAGTGCCTCATCCTTTGCGAAGCTCGCGAGGCGCAGCTCCACTTCTTCTGCCTCGAGCTCCATGCAACGGATACAGCCGGCTTTCAGAGATGACCCAAAACCAGCCAAGTGGCTTGTGAAGTAGAAACACTTCCACACAGCGGGCTCAACAGCCCTGCCCGGCATCACCTTGGGCCAAACCAGCCTGGTTCTGCGATGCTGCGCGAAAGCTTGACACGGCTCACTCGTTCAGTCGTGCTGTTGCAATACTTCAGAGCCACGTCTCTTAAAATGCTCGTGGGCTGTAGAACCAAGACCCAATACAATGTATTCTGCTCACATGGCTGACATCAGCTCACCTAGGACCCAGACAGTGTCGAGGGTTTCCGGCACTGACGATGATACTGACAGAAGCACTCTTGGGTGGAGGAGTGCATATCCTCCTGCTCTGAGTTCTGAGCCCTTACGCGCATGATTGCCTCCTTTTTCATGCGGGAGCCTCACCAGTTTCTCCCGCCGCCAAGCTCAGTGCACGAACTTTGGCGAGCACCTCCCACAGCTGCAAGTCTTCGCATCCGTCCCAAGCCCACTGGTGTCAGGAACCCTTAACTTCCTGCCTCCTTGGCCATGCGCCGCACCTGCGCTTTTACGGCCAAAACCATCATGCATCGTGCTTGCCATGGCTTGGTAAGAGGGGCCTCTGGCACGGAATCACCGAGGCAAGTCGCGAGGTTGCCGACGAAGGGCCTCCGGCAGACAGCTCATTAGCTTTGGGAATGGGCCACACCTCTGCGCAAGGTCCGTCTTGAAACGGGTCCGAAAGCATCTCTCCGACGGGCTGCAGCTGTGGAGGAGGCTCACAAGGCTCAGGCACAGCAGCGTCGCCGACTTTGCCGAGCGCCTGGCCAAGCCCACCAAAGCCAACGAAAGATCACCGAGCTGAATAGACTTTGCGATGGACTGGACAGCACTCTTGGGCCTAAGGCCAAGACGTGATGCGCCTATTCGAGGGACGATGAGCATGAGGAGGAGCAGGAGGAGGACGACGACGACGACGGCAACAAGATGATGCGACGAGGACTATGATGCTTATGACGATGTTGATGACATGAATCTGGTCACGACATGATGATGCTGCTGGTCCTGCTGCTGCTGATGATGATGATGATGACGAGAAAAGCCAGAACGTGGCCGTCGAAGGCTCCCAAGTGATGTGACGCCACATAGGAGTGGTGAACGCCACTTCGAAGGTTCTGCTTCCAGAAGTGAAAGTACCAGGTGCTCACACGCAGGCCGACATGAGAAGCTGAAACGACGGCCCCCAGGCTGCATCAGGCTGCCTGCACCGCATTGCCACGAACGTACCTGCGCTGCATCTTGCTCACTGTCATCTTGCCCTCGTAAGAGGGCTAGCAGATAGGGTGAGCTTCCCACGCTTGGAGTCATGAGCCGGGCGCCACACCAGTCGTCGTCACCCAGAGCAGCAGCCAGGTCGGCCGCATAGGGCGCAGCAAGGTCTCCTGAAGTCTAGCAGGCCGAAGCTCTCTCGTCGACACTGCAAGCTAGTGCCGAAGCTGTTTTCCAACCCAGGGCCGGCACCTGGCCTAGCTCGAGAAGGGCCTGCGACCCGGCGTGGCGAACACGGAAATCCTGCGAACATCAACAGGACGTAGCGTGATCAATCTGGAGACGAAGTGAAGCCAAGTCTTCTGGCTGGGGGGGGGGGGGGCGAAGAGAATGGAGAAGTCGGAGAGAAGGCTCACAGTTCCCTTGTTCAGGGATGTTTTGCTTCCCGTCGAGGGCTCTCATCTCGAAAAGCAGAAACCCTGATGGTCCTCATCCTTCAAAGCCTTCACGAAGTGGTCCACGTATTTTGCCTATGCCAAGCCAACTCTGATCTCTCTGACTTGCCCCGCCCCGCAAGCAGGTTACCACTGTAACGATCTGTAGCGCGCATGCTGGCAGAGACATCGAGGAAACGACTGACCCGTGGAAGTAGCAAGTGGGATGCAACGTCATCCGGATCGAACTTGGATTCGAGCCGACGCTTCGCGACCACGGCCACGGACCTCCGGCATCAGGGCCCACTCTGCACAACCGAAAAAAGGAAAAGGGCACTCGAGAATGTCTTTCAAATGATGCGACGATCCCAAACAGCATTAGCCTCGCCCGCGCGGTCCCGAAAAAGCCAGGTCGCAGGCCACTTGCTTTAAAACCGCCGAGCGAGTCAGAGGATTTGGACTGGCATGGTAAAGACTCCAATCAAAACCGAGTGTAGAGTACCACAGCAATCCGAGTGGCTCCGGTGAAGGGGACTCAGCATCGAAAGGACAGCGCTTAATTGTGCCAGCTGCGCTCGTTTAGGTAATCCTCCACGCTGCCAAACTGGGCAATGACCTTGCAAGCTCATCCAACACCTACCATAATCAAGTCAATGTTTACCTTTCTGACAGATGCCGGTACGAACGCGCCTTGCTTGCCGCCTCGACTATCTTCATGTTCCCATCCGCCAGCAGTGGCCTCGGCATCAGACTTGTCTTGTACTGTATAACCCCCTGACCGACTTGTAACGAAGACAATGCTCATGTCGGGCGCGCGCTGGCTCCTGATCTACAATGCCAACATACGCAAACTCTGCCCTAAGCCAGTGTCATTCTGGTACACCTTTTTGCTGCTTGAGTGAAGCCTGCTGTCCCGGAAGTACATCTGCTGGGCTTTGCGAGTCTCGAGTGGACTTGGACAAAGTGTGGAAAACTCCTCAGCCCTACATAATAGGACAAGTCCACGAACTTCCTAGACAAGATTCTGGCTCGGGCCACTACCTGGTACTGGTTTGGTCCCTTTTTGTGAGGCTCTCCGAATTCTAACCGCAAGCCCTGAAGCCCATCATAACGCTAGATTCGCCAAACACCGGCACCGACTCCTCGGGGACCTGGCGCCACGTCGTGGGCCAACGGCGCCGCGAGGTGGCCGATGCCCGCCACGGCCGCCAAAACGGAGAGGCGGACTTGCAAGGTTAGCACTGGGCTTTGGATGCTGCTGGCGATGCTGGCGAGTCAAGCACGGACCGGCGGTGTCTGCATATGCGTGCATGCACGCATCAAGAAATGTAGCACTATGCCCTATGGCAAGGAACATTGCAAATGAGGAGCCGTGATGCTCAGCGACCGCCATGGGTCGCGGACGTTGGACCATTTGTCACGGATCAACAAGCTCAGCATCCCTGCCTCCATCGGAGCTGCTTTGTAGCTCGTCCCATCGCGTGTCCACGAGGCGACGTGCCTGAGGTGGGGCCCAGCATTCTCCCAAGCTTTCGAAGATCAATTCAAGTCCTGGCCAGGCCCCCCGGCGTATTCGCGCCTCGCCGCTTCAATCGCGCCTTTGTGAACCCGACGCCTCGGGCACCACTTGGGTAACAACCCAACGTACTGCAAGCAGGAGCAAAAAGTGTCCGGTCGAATATACTTCGCTCCACATAAGACTTGTCTTCAGGTAGTCTGAGCTCGCCAGCGCGGCATCACCCGATTTCTGAAGCTCCATGACGCCCTCGGCATGGCAGGAAGGATCTTCGGAGCCAACGAACTTTGCGAACAGAGAGCTCCTAGCTTCAGACCCGGTCTTGAGGACCACTGAACTCTGCAACGCGGCACTAAGCCAACATGAAGTGGACTGCTTCCCGCAGGACTATATGCAGACGGAGGCACATGGCCCTCAAAAATGTGCATCACACATAGCCGTAGCCTGAATGTGCCCCGTGCCTGAACGCGTTGCTGGTCATCGGTGCCTTCATCAAGGACAGACTGTTGCAGCGAAGAGTTTTTGTGAGGTTTGCGGTAGCGGATTGTGGTATCCAGGCAGGTTCAGCTTTGGTTTGCACCTTGTGTCAGGAGCAGCACACCTTCTCTTTACGACACATCGGCTCGCTATAAAAGACTGCTCGCCTATCCATGAGTTGACCTGGTCATTCAAACCTATGTCGGTGCCATCCAAATGTTTGACGGTCTATCTGTGTTGTCTTCGTGTTCCTCGATGTCTCCGTATCTAGACAGCAGGTCCCAGTTCGCATGTACTGAATAAGTTCTCAAACCACGACATCATTGATCCGTGCAGAGCATCAGAGCCCGTAATGTTCAAGCAGTCTTGCCTCGGCAAATTTCAACACAACTTACCAAATCGTCGCCGAAGGGCTGAAGAGGTCGAGGACGTGGCGCGCTCCGAGTGCAGCATCAGGGTCTCAGTGGTCTTTGGGCTGTTGCTTAGTCTCCGCCAGAACCGCCTCTGCTCCCTGTCTCGGACACTTCATATAGCTAAGCCTCCGCCTGCAATCAATGACCGTACTTCGAGAAAATATGTTGATAACGGAAAGGGGTCCGAAATGGAGTTGTCTTACAACATTGGTCGGCATTCGCATGCCTCCAACTCACAGAGACAATCTTCATGGCGACTGGGGAGAGTGCTGGCATTTCCAGATAGCCTCGGTCAAACGAGCCCTTGCGCCAAGCCTGTGACATGCTCAGGCAGCCGAGGATGCGCTCCAGCAACCCCACAACTGTCTGTATGCGCTAGACATCCAGGCATTCTGGCAACACCCCTGAGATCCTAACAGGAAAAAGCAAAGTCAAGGCAGCATCAGCAACCCACAAGCTTCTCTTCTTGAACTTCTGCAACTTCCGAACTACTCTCGCCACGCACACTATCTGCTATGATTATGGGGCGATGGCCCAAAGTAGCAAGGCCTGGAAGAGAGAACAGAAACAACGATAGACACCTCTGCGATCTCCCTTGTGCCAAGACATGTCGGACAGATATCAAACATCGAATCAGAACATTCCCGCAAGGCCCTTGAGCCCCTGAGGCTCTGGCAGCAGGCGTGCTACCTGGCATCGGAATACTGTAAGTTATAAGCTGTCCGGCACTGCAACCTACTCGCCTGCCTGTTCATAGTTGGATGCCTCGACTTCATCAACATGAAAGACTCCCCCTGGCTACGACGCTTCTTTCGGAGCTATGCTGGGATCCCCAAGAACCCAGGTCTCTTCTTTCGCTTTCACTTTCAAGGAATCTGTGGCCTCGCCGTCCTCGCCGGCTGCTGCCACGGCCTCGACTACTGCAATGCTTCAGCACACGCCCGAATGTATCACGAGTGTCTTGGAACGTGCTCGGAGTATGTCACACAGCCCGGAAGCTGCAGATTAAGTACACCTTAGAGTCATGCAACATTTGGTCACCAGGAGTCGGGCATAGGTGAGGGGGTGAATGCCGACACCATCCACCGAGTTGGGATTGGCACCTCAGATCTCGGATCAGCAAGAGCCGGTGGCAAAGCTTTCTGCTGCGAGTTCTCCGTTGGCAGCGGACGCAGGGAGAGCGCGTGCCGGACCAAAGGAGCCTCGGCCGGCGCAGAGAAACACGGGGAACCTCTCAATGCCTGGGGGCTGGATCTGAAAAGGCCAACACCATGCGGCAAGGCCGGGACAAGGAGCTTTACCAGGACCCTCTGAGACGAAGGCTGAGCCGTTCTGAACCAAGATGGCTAAGCTCTGACCTCAGAGGCTTTCGGCTCTCGGATGCCGGAGGTGGCAAGGCTCTACAGGGAGTGTCGCGCATGGGGACATCTTGCCAGGTGTTTTTTTGCCTTCCTGGAAATAAGCTGTTCGCCGCGGCGCAACCCATGCGACGGCAACAGCTGCTCCCTTCAGCACGCCTCACCAAACTGCCTACTATGTCTTCACTCTTAACCGCTTAACATCGCTTAACCTGCATCTGGAATGGTGGGGGCGTGCTTTGCCGCAGTCTCGCTCCTGTGGCGAGTGGGCATCTACAAATTCTACAAAACGAGAGGCACTTGCACGCCTCAGGGAACAGCCGAGCTTGAAAACCACCAGGGCTCGAGGCGCAGATTAGCTTGGCTCTTGCAAAGGCTCCTAACAGCCGGAAAAGCCCCTGCTGGGCCTTGTTGGGCCCAGGTGGTTTCCGCCCGAGTGATTAAGGCAGTGGGACATCGAGGATTCATCCACGAAGCCGCCTGCAGTAACACATAGTTTCACAGAGTGTCAACATGAATTCAGAGAAAATCCGCTTCTCAGGAGCTCAATCATCGAGAGAGAATGCCTGGCCGGTTCGCTTGAAGGTTTGGCGCGGCCTTTCAGGACAATCCCTGATGCCTCTCAATCCTAAACCCCGTGGAGTCAATTCCCAGTCATGGCAGCAGTCGTGCATATTTAGGACGCACGGCGCGAGCATTGGACTCTGAAAGGGGACGAGGCCATCAACAACATAGTGCTGCACAGGTCCACTGCTCGCAGCAAAAGAGCCACATAATGAACTTCGACCCACGGTGCTCCGAAATCCGTCTCGCCCAAGGCTTGCAGGAATGCGACGTCCAGGCCCAGGTCGAAGGCACCATACCCTGCCCGAACTCAACAAAGCCCTGACTGGGTCTCCCGAACAAGCTGTCACGGAGGATTCACAGCGTCGGGTGGGATGTCGGGAATCCATGACAAGGCCTCCGCGACGAGGCCGGGTGCCCTGGCGGAAGCCTGAGCTGGGGGTGGAAAGACAGCAGAAGCAAAAGACCCAATGGGCTCTGGGACTCTATGCGTGCTGGCCTTCAAACTCCTTGGTCGAAGCAGTAAACGGTCTTAGAAGAACTACTTTCGTGGCGGCATTGTGCCAAGTCAGTTTGTATTGCTCTACTGACTGTTGGAGTCGGCTCTTGAGCATCTCATTGCGAACCCCTTTGACATGATCCGCTCCAGCTGCGGAGCCACATACCACCAGTTCAGCTGGAAAGCGTAATGGGTTGGACAGCAGCTCCATCGGTGGCGGCTGAGGCCTTGCAGAGCAAGCCGGGTCAGACGGCGTGCTGGAGGAATCCATGTCGCTTTCAAGGCAACTAGGTCATGCCGAGCTCCAGCACCAACTGCCACAACACTAAGGCGAGGAAGAAACTGACCAGGCAGTTCTGATCCCTCCACCCAAGCTGGCGACCCTTGAAGAAATCCGGAAAGAGCTTCGTCAAGAATGCCTCCCACTGCTGGGTCCCGGACGAGTCCAACAGTGTCAGGAGCTCCAGAATGGCCTTCCGTCGCTCCTGGCTCTGATCCGAAGACATCTTCAGATCAAAAGTGGGTGCAGCAAGAGGACATGTATTGTTTGGTGGATGCCTGGGCAAGTCTTCTTCGAACAAAAGGAAACCGGCTCATCGGCCCTCTATACCAGGCTGGGCGCGACTTCAAGTTCGGAGCATCAGGGATCCGCTTCAAAATTTTGTTGCAATCTGCAGATCTGGATTCCATTGTTGAAAGATTGCTTGCGTATCTAGGGTGCTTGACTACTCTGATGTCATCGTAGTATGCTGATACCCCGTCTTAGTTTTTGCATCCAGAGCCAGCATCATGGGATTCCAACGCACTTTTCCGCTTCGTAAAGCCGCATAGCCTAGACCACTCATGACTTGCATAAGTAGCATAAGGCAACATGTTGCGTGAGCTTGGTGACAGGGCCTACTGCGCCGGTGGAAGCAAGAATATCCAGGAGATGCTTTGCTTCATTCAGAGTGTGCAAGACGGCACCTCCCTCCCCTCACCTCCCCCCCCTCCCTCCTCCCTCCCCCTCCCTCACTCCCTTGCATCCTTACTACCCCTGTATATGTGTACGTCAGTGTACGTACACGCAAGCAGATGGATAGACTGATTCAGACGAATTCGTTGGGCGCTTATCTGGTGAAGCGACTAACTACAAAGTCATCTCCACGTCCCCCAGCACCACCGAGGACGTGACACGGGAATGGGAGAGGAGCTTGAGCGTGACCCCAGCGCGGGAGGAGCCTCGCCTGCAGGTTTGATGAAACTCAGGGTGAAGTGGCTTCGAAAGAGGTGCGGGAGTCAGATCAGGGCTGAAGCGTATTTAGTTTCAGTGGCTCATGCTGATACAGAGCTGCCACTCAGAGAGTGAAGAGGTTCGTTGCTTCCGGCTCCCTGTCGAGCGTTGGACAGTGAGCCGGCTGTGCTGTCCATCACCTGCCAGAACTCCGAACCAAGGATGTGGACAAGTTCATCATTCGGAAAGCTGTGGACGAGCAGCAACGGGGAGCGATGGTCAAGATCATATCGAATGCTCCTCGCCTTTCCACCAGTGCCACTATCTCAACTCTTCGGACATTAGTTAAGTAGAGCACAGACAGGGCAGCATGATGAGGACAACTTTTCTGAGTACATCGGTAAAGTGGAAGACTTCCGCTTTGATGAAGCCTGGATCCGGCGGAATGCAACGTGGCGAAGAGACCCTTTTGACCTTGTAGCAGACTTTCGTGCGAGAGTTGGGGCCAGTGGTGCAGTTCAGACGTACATCCACTGTTTCGAGTAGTTCCAAATTTTTTCGACATGAACCCGAGAAGCTCCGAAATTCAGACGTCAAAGAACTTTGCATCTTGCATTCCTCGGACTGCAAGCACGGTTTCGTGCAAGATGGCTTCCAGGATCCTGAAGACGTCGTAATGCATTGAAGGGGCCGAACACTCATTCAGGCAAATTTCGGCGGCAGCGTTTCGTCGGTTCATCATCGGCTACGCCCGGAAATATTAGTGCAGCCACTACCCGGGCTGAAGCATCAGGTGGTCAAATTCTGCATCTCTGCGGGCGACTTCATCCCTGCCGACGGTGTAGGCGTTCTGCAATGAACTCCATGTTCCTTAGGATGGGTCATAAAGTCGCTGCTTCCGTCAGTAGCCAATCCAAAGAACCCTAGGGTTTGATTTGATGGATCTTGGCTGAGAGCTTGTTCCAAAGTGCTACAGGAGACACCTTCGTCCGATGTTGCAGACCCATGACGACCTGTGACACGGCGGCGAGGCCGGGCTGATAGTACTCACAAGCCTCGAAGGTTCGAAAAAAAACCTCAGCCTGGAAAGCACACAGGGCCAGCCGCAGCGGCAGAAACGGCAGCGCCGGCGCCTCCGCAGCGAGTGCAGCTCCAGATCGCCAAAGTCTGCCGGTGCGCCTGGCCGGCCACACGGATCGATATAGACCGACAAAGGAGGCAAAGGACCAGGTGCAGTTGTCACTTCAAGGGTTTATGTGCAGTGGGCGTGATAGAAGCTTGGTGTTAGAAAGGGAGGGAGGTGCCTCAGAGACTGGAACCACGGTCCACGAAGCATCGGACACTTGTGCCATAGCCAGCCCAAGTCTTTTGGTTGTGAAGCGGATGTCCGAGGCCGAGGAGCTCCGTCCCCGCTGGGGGGTCTTCAGCTGGAGCATGGGAAGTCGCTGCAGGCGGGGGACCACATAGCAAATTCTATCTGTACCTCTATTGAACAGCATGATGACGATGATGGTGGTGGTGGTGGTTGGTGATCATGACGAGGACGAAGAGGAGCATGCGGAAAACTAGGAGGAAGATGAAGATGCATTACAAGATGAAGATGGCGAAGGTGGTGATGATGGTGAAAATGAAGAAGAAAATGATGGCCAGGACTCCAAGGATGACGATGACCATGATGATGCTGGATCATGATGATGGTCATCGTCATCACCACCATCATCAGCAGCATCTTCTTCTTCATCATACTTGCCATCATCATCATCAACATCGTCGCCATCACCATCACCACCATCGTCAGCATCAACGTCACCATCGTCGTCATCCCAATCATCATCATCATCGTCATCATCCTCATCAGCAAGATCAACGTCAGCATGATTGTCAGCATCAGCATAATCACCAGCATCGTCACCAAAATCATCGTAACTCGTTTTATGTTAATGTTCATGTTCATCATGAACCCCAACATGCGCATCATCATCATTATCATCATCATCATCATCATCATCCTCTTCCTCATCACCATCACCATCACCATCACCATCACCATCAACATCAACATCAACATCAACATCAACATCACCACCACCACCATCATCATCATCATCACCATCATCATCATTATCGTCGACAGCATTCTCGAAATCTTTATTTCATGTCCACCACCAGTCTTGTCATCATCAACAAAAGCATCGCCAACAGCACCAACAACATCAACACCATCATCATTATCATCAGCATCATCATCATGATCATCATCGCAGCAACAACATCTACTTCTACATCAGCACCAACATCACTATCATTATTATCTTCCTCCTCATCATCACCGTCATCTTCATCATAACCATCGTAATCATCGCCACCATCTTAATGACGTTGTCGTGAATTTATCGGCTTTTGCTTGATCGCTTGAGCCGAACAGGTGAAGTGCCCGCACCGGAACATGTGCCCGCTTCGCCTGGACTGCAAGGTGCGGGTGGCTTGCATCTCTAATGTTTGGCTCGCAATGGGCTTCTGAGAAATAGCAGGGCTTCTTTGCTCAGCTCAGTGGCAGAAACATTTTCAACCGCAGCGGTTGCCGAGACATGATGGCCTCGCATTGCTGTAGTCCATTTTTGCTCAAATGGCGAGTACTTTGTCCTTCAAACCGATTCAGGGCAAACCTTGCCCCAACCGTGCGCACATTGATTTGGTTGCTGCTCTTCTCTCGTCCAGTTGCAA